CCAGGGGCTCTGGCAGGGGTGCCTTGCGAGACAGGGAAAGCTGCGCAAAAATTGTGTTTAGGCAGGCCCTGATGCATTTGGATATGTTGTTGTTTTTTTTTTTTTTTTTTAAATTTAGGTGGGTTATTGCATACGCTTTTTTTTTTAAAAAAAAAAAGTGAACAAAACTGGGAGAGCAGGTTTGGAGGATGGCTGTGTTTGAGTAGTGAAAATGAGATTCTATGTTGTCACTTTGACGACTTGCAGTTGCTTTGGATAAGTATGAACCCATTCTCCTCGTATATTTGAGTTACTCCTTGGTACCGAAATAGATTTGTATCTGAAATGCTGATTTTGGCATAAAAAAACAAATTAAAGGCTTATTATTAATCTCTTATTTTACCAGATTATTAGTGCATAATAAGCAGAAAGAATAGGTTTGTTATAAGAAAAGTGCACAGTGACCTGTACTAATTTAGTGGTATTTAAATACATAGTCATATGAGGGAGTCTGATCTCTGTGCTGCAACTCTTAAAATAGTGTAGAGAGAAATGTTTTGATTTTGTTTATATGTGCTTCCCAGGACTAGTGGATATTATTTTGGTGATCATCTGTGTTGAGACACATTTCTGTGTGGTGTGTAAATGTTTAAAGGTGCTGAGATGAAAGAGGAACTTTTAAAATAATCTATTTTGAAGAAACTGCCCTTACTGTTTGCAGTTGCTTCTAGAAGCATTTCAAAATAATGTCATTTCAAAGTAATGTGTTTCAAAACTATTTATTCAGCTATAGGATAGCTTTCCGAATGGTATACCAAAGATGTTTGATAAGTGTAATGGTTAGAAAGTCCTAACTGTCTTCTTGCACCCAGTCAGAGTAATTACATAAATACTATGATTTACCTGAGAATCAAGCCTTCATAGTCAGGTGTAGTCACCCTCGGACTCCTCATGCCGTTCAGTTGTGCCTTCTCTGTGTGACACAGCGCGAGGTTGCCATGGTGCAGGGATGCGGGGGTACAAGTCAGGCTCAGCAGCAGGAGGGAGGAAGCAAGCCGGGAAGGGCTGCTGGGCTTGCCTGGGCGTCCTGTCCTGCAGCAGAGCTAAAGCAGTGGCACCCCAACATGGGAGCTGTTGCTGTTCACCTGTTCTGAAAATCCCTTCTCTCTGGTTTTCTGAGGTGGGCAACACGTATTTTGTGGCGTTCGGGTGTATGAAGTTTGGTCTGTAGTCTGTAGGTCAGGAAGCTTTGCTGTTCTGCTCTAATGCAATGCATCTCCACACCTATCCCAGAAAATGTGCCTGGGTAGCTACAGCAGTGCTATCGAAACTGAATGTAACTTGTCAGACCATGAGTTTCATGTTTGATGTGTGATGAAATATGTATTATTGTCTCTTGGAAGTAAAGAAAAGGGTGGAAGAAAAGATGGAGGAAAATTTGATTATTAGCAGGTTCTGCCTCCTGAATAGGAAATACACACCTTACTAGAATGTAACAGCATTTAACTCAATAAATCCAGCAAACTTTTATGTGTATATATATGCACTTCATTAGTCACTGCACACTGGTGTTTGTACATTGGCCTCTGTGGAGCAGTAACTGAGTGGTAAAAATAATATCCATGTAAAACCATTTCAAGTGTAACTAGAGTAAAATGTGGAGAAGAGGCTTTAAAGTCCAGTACAGAAAATGGGAGTTCATGTTGCAGTGTATGGAGATGGAGTTGGTGGACTTCATAGCAGATGCCTGTGGAACGGCTGGACTGGCCTTTAAGTTGCAATTTTTTCTGTCTTCTCAGGAGATAATTTTAAAAGGAGAGATTATTCAGTTTGTGGTTATAACTGAGATTTTTGCCTCATGCAGATTGTTGTATCAATACCCCATTTTCCAGGGATAATGTTCCTTCACCTTTTGCACAAAACACTGATGGATTTTGACATATTAGGAGAGAAATTTCTTAAATTCTAGATCCTTTTCAGATACCAGGCTGTTCTTTCCTCTCTTAGCTGAATTTTCTTCTGTCTCTGATTCCTCTGTACTAATTATGATTGCCAGATACTCTCTCACCTGTGTTTGCTCATTTTTGTTCCCTGCCTGATGACCTCGTTCAGCCCCAATGGCCTTGCAGCAACTTGAGTAAAAGCGATGGCGGAAGTGCTCTTTTGCACAAAGTCCCGTGTGGCTCCCTGTGTTGCAATTGCCATGACACGAAGATCTGCTCCTAATATCAGTAAGATAACATGGCCATTAAAATGTTGGCAGACTAATTATCATAGTATTTCTATTACAACGTGGAGATAAGTCATAGTGATTGCACCTGTAGAAAACTTCAAGAGAAGGGTACTCTATAGAGCTAAGTTCACCTGTTGGTCCGTGTTTTATAGGAACAATTTTGAGACTGCTTTTTGTAGCTTTATCACATGCTGACAGTTGGTTATTTCCCAGTGATGTTAACTGTGAAATGTGAGGCTTCTCTTTGTTTTACGGATGTTGTTAAACTGTTTTGTTAAAAGTCAGCATTAGAATCAAACTATTATATTAAACTATAATTGAAAAAAATTGAAAAGTTTTTAACTATCGTATAAACTAAAGGTGCAATGTCATTATAATTTTAGTAAAGATAGCTGTGTCTTCTTGCTGGTTTTCCCAGATGTTCACAGGCTCAGATGTGTCTGTGTTCCCCAGTGCTCCAGCTTCTGAGTAACTGTAGCTGAAAATTTTGAAAGCCTTAGGTCAGTGCTCAAATGGTAAATTTGAGTTCAAACGATTGTTGAAAGGTGCATCTTGATATATAATGTAGTGGAATATGACACGTGTACTTCTTAAAAAGTTATTTCCTAGCGTTGCTGTAGGAATGTACCCTTGTGGAATATAGTGTTGTTATTCCATTATATTTGTATGTGGGTGTCGCGAATGCAGATTCGTGAATCCTGCTGACTATGTTAATTTGTCGTGAACGGAGTGACTCTACACAGTTTGATTTAGTAGCAGTTTAGAATTTACTTGTGGCAATTTGCAGGATTTGATTGTGATATTCTGATGGCACTCAATCATCAGTGATTGACAAAGTGATGAGACAAAATTAATCAAAACAGCAACTTAGTTAAAGATTCGAAGATGGCAGGGTTCACTCTATTACTACATGGAAGAAGCTTATAAAGGAAAATTAAGTTACACTGAGTTGGAATGATTCACAGAGATACTGTGGATGCAGGGGATAAGGAGGACCCTCCCGTTGAGTCGCGAGGTTCAGAATAGACCCCCTTGCTTTTCTAAACTCCTTTTCAGAGAAGAGTCTAGGTGCGGCTCGGTCCAATCTTAGTCTCAGATTTGGTCAACGGTTTATGTGAATAAGGATAATGCAGCAGTATAAGGCTCACTTTGTAATTAAATCATACATCTACAGACTACTTAAATTGATTCACAGATGCATACACACAGACATGAATACATATATATATTTATATACATATATACATAAAGGTATACCTGTTAAAAATTCCCCTTGAGTTCAGTGAAATATTCACGTCAAATGTCTTGGCATTTCTCAGTGGGCGAGGGTTGAGTGTCAAGGAGTGAAGGGTTTCAGCCCAGGCTCCGCTGTCAGTCTTCAGCAATGGACCTCTGATTTTAGCAAACTTTAAGAGTCTGCTAGCTCTGAGAGGCGTCCCACTCAGAGGGAGGTGCTGGTGCAGCCCACTGCGGTCCAGGAGAGCTCAAAGAGCCTCCCTTAGGACTGCTGTTTTATAGGCTGGTGAGATGATTGACTTTAGTTATAGGCTGGGGAGATGATTGGCTTTAGTCATCAGTAAATTTCCACCCGAGCCATAATCCGGGTCGGTAAATTACTGGAATTCCAGTAGCGATGATGCTGCTCTGTTTCAAGGCTGTCAGGGGATAACTGATTGTTCTCGCTCCCCACATCAACCATGTAGGAGTTTCTGATAAGGACAGGGCCGCTCTCCACTTCAACCATGTAGGAGTTTCTGGCATAATTCAGGGGTGCAGAACTGACCAACTCACTACACAAGGCCGTGGTCTGGTAGGAATTCCTCAAGTCATAAAGTGGTCAAAGAGAGAAAAGGAGGGCGGGATGCACCGCCACAGTAGGCCACATGATGTGTTACTGAAAATGGTTAATTATGGCTACACAATTTGACACAGCAGAAGATACTAAAAAATTACACTTAGAATTACTTTTTGCTATTTGATTTGTAAAGAAATCAGAGGATTAAACAGTTTGCAAGAATGAATGATTCTTGAGTAATAAGCAGAATGAATAATTAAATGCGTTAGTGAAAGGCCTCAAAGCAGGGTGTATTTTTTTGGTGTAAGCAAGTCTTTTTTTTTTTTTTTATAGTGTGTTAGTGTGGTGCATGTTGTCTACTCTGACCTACCCTAGAATTGCTGCTTTAGTTATAACATTTCTTGCCTGAATTTGTTGCTTGAGTCAAGAAGTGATCCAAAGATGGACTGTTTTAGCACTGTGTATTTTAACTTGCACCATGTCAAATATTTGTGACTTTGAAGAGGTTGCTGCATCCTAGGAGTCTTAAATTTCTTTCTGTTTTGCCTTGTAATACTGTGCATTGCTTTTAGGCTTTTAGAAGCACTACTCGGTGTTTATTGATTGTAACTCAGTTACAGTATTTGAATGTGTGACTGTCATTAAGTACATTCAATATTTTGCGGTTAAAAATGTTTGCACTTCAACATTCTGCTAATAGTTCTCTCTTTATTATAGTGATAAACAGAGAAGTTGACCATGACAACCTTCCTGGAATTTATCCAGCAGAATGAGGACAGAGATGGAGTGAGATTCAGCTGGAATGTTTGGCCTTCAAGTCGTCTTGAAGCCACAAGAATGGTAGTCCCAGTGGCTGGCCCCTTCACACCTTCACACCACTGAAAGAACGGCCAGACTTGCCTCCTATTCAGTATGAGCCAGTTTTGTGCAGTAGGACTACATGTCGAGCTGTTCTGAATCCTTTATGGTAAACCTAATACATACATTATGCTAATATTTTTCCTTACAAACAATATTTAGAATAGTGCCAGTTAAACTGTGCAACAGATATGGTGCGTGGAAGTTCATGTATTCCTCACATGAGTATACAGCTCAGACTTCTAGATCTTAGAAGTTTCTGCACGTAGATTTGCATATGTAACATATATACTTAAAACATAGCTTTAATTTAATTAGTCTTTTCAACGTAATTAGTTTAATTAGTGATTAGGTGTGTTATTTTTCTGGAACTACACATCTTGTGAGTTAGTACTCCTGCATTTTGCCTCTAGAAAATAGCTAGGGTAAAAAGTTACTATGCTATATCTTTTAAACTATTGGGGCCTGACATAGTTTAGTTTCAAAGTAAAATAAACTATATTTATTACTGACCTTAGTTCATTTGTAGACCAAAGCAGGTTAGCTGGTTTAGCTTACCAAAACAGAAACTGAAAGACACGATAGGTAGGTAGATAGGTAGGTAGGTAGATAGATACAGACAGAAGTAGTAGCATGAGAGGGGGTGAAAGCTGTTTAAGCTGAAGGGTGATATTGGTACAAGCACAAATGATTGTGACCTAGTCACGGATAAGTTTAGGTTGGAAGCAGAGGAAGTGTTTCATATGTCATTCCCATCACAGAACTATGGAAAAGAAACGTAACAATTTCTGAGGAGGAGTTTGATAGGCATGGGAAAGGTACTGAGTGAGAGTGAGAGATGAGACATGATGTAAAAGATCCTGTAGAACTCACTCAATTTTATGAATGACTTGTCCCTGCTTGGGAGAAAAGATGATTTCAAAGCAGATGTAAAATTGTGTTTCAGTATTAAACACACACAGTGGCTGATTATACTGGAAGTCAGACTTAGTGGAAGCTAACTTTTTCAGAAGCATTATCTTTTATTGAGGGCTGGAAGAAAAATAATGGAAAGTCAAAGCCATAAAAGGTCAGTCAGATCCCTGACATTACAGTGAACTGTGTACATTTTTCCTGTCTCGTGTATGCGAGTCATGACGGGGTTTTTATTTTTTTTACAAGGTGTGATTAGGGACTCAGTTTGGGGGGACCTTTTGAAGCCTGCACGGCATAGTGTATCGGGCTAGATAGTCTGCAGCCCCTGAAAATGGTATAGATAATTTGATCTCAGTAGAGCTGTGTTGTGTTTACAGCATGCTGGGGGTTATCCAGCATTTATGATAATCTGGTTATCCAGATTTAATGATACATTAAAAAGACTTTTGCCCTTGTAGACAGGAGAAGAAGTGATAGCAAGAAAAGTACATTGAAAACACATAAAGTTTACTTTCCCTTAAGAAGTGGGTAGGACTTTGTAAGACATCTGTATGCCATGAAGGTACAAGTTTGCATTTTTTATTTTAACTATCTGAATACTCATAAAAATGTAGATAAAAGGAGGTAGGCTCATCAATTGAAAAAAACGTTATTTCACTAGAGAGATAGCTGTTAAGTTGGAACATGATTTTTTAGGGCATAATGTATATTCAGGATAGCCCCCGACTCTGGCAGCTAATAGGCATAGGCCGAGAAAGGAATAAAACGCAAAGGTAGGGCGAGTTAAAATGATTTGCCTAAAACCATGCAGAGAGTCTCTAGTAAAGGTGCTGAGTCTGTATTCTTAAATTTCTTATTTGCTGCTTCTCCTTGAAGATGATTTTTTGTCTCTAAAGACAATAATTTGCTTGATATGTCTGTGTAAGACTACACTTTGAATTTGTCATATGGGTGTTTAGGAGACAGTATATTAGGAGGAATCTTTTTCAAAGTCAGTGTGTTTTTGAAAAATTAAAAGAAACTTATTCTAGGGTCAGTGGAGGAAAAGAATTGTTCATGCTATATAAACTTTTCCTATTATCTTTTTGTAGCCAAGTGGATTATCGAGCAAAACTCTGGGCTTGCAACTTTTGTTATCAGAGAAATCAGGTAAGAAAATGATATATTCAGGATATAGAAAATCTTTTTTATAAGGTAAAAGTGAAAATCCTCATTTTCCAAGTTGTAGTTGCGAATTGAAATTGACAGCAAGAGCATGAGTGCGCAGCTATATCTTCAGAGATTGCATTGAGATTTTTTTCATGACGGCAATAGTGAACATGTGTTGCACAGGAAAGTAGTCCATACATTTGTTTTTGTAGAAGTTGTAATCTTTTTTTTAATACTTAATTTCTCTGTTTTTATTTGCAGTTTCCTCCTACCTATGCTGGCATATCTGAAATGAATCAGCCAGCTGAACTTTTACCTCAGTTCTCCAGCATTGAATATGTAGTACAGGTAAAATCATTAAATAAAATCTTTAACATCTATAACCTTGCAATATACAAACCCAATTAATTTCAATTTTATTTCTTCACCGTGTTCTAGTGACTATGAGTCTTTATGTGCTTGTTAGTAGATTGAACATATATGTCATCAATTGGAAACGGAAAACAGCTTTTTATAGGAACACAAGGATGGCTAATAAGACTGGTTGAAAAAAAAAAAAAAAGAAAGAAAAAAGAGAGGTCTCTTCTAAAGGCAATTATTTCTGTTAGGCCTGTTTCTTTACCAGGAGTTTAATTTGTGTTTGTGCTGGGGGTCTGCTTGCTGCTATTGCTTGCTCAAACGATCTCAGTTCAAAATTGGCTGACTGTTCATTCATCTCTCATTAATCATTTGAATTTAAGTTTGTAATTGAATGATTATGAGTTAGTTTTAGGGCTAGCTGGTTTAGAGAAAACAGTTAATACATATTCAATTCAGGTATTTGAATTTTAATATTAATCCTTTTTTAGGATAGAAGTTACTTGAAATAAAAAACGGACCTACAGCCCAAAATTGCAAATATTTGCAATTGCAAAGTTGTAATCTCTAAATTCCTTTTTTGAGGATTAAAATTTGTAAGACTTCAGTGAAGCATTCAGATTATGAAAAGAAGAGCAAAGGCTCAGCAGAATCTCTACTTTTTGCCAACACTTGTAACGCAAAGTAAAGGGGATATTTGCTCATAGTACAGCAAAATTAGTTTAGAAAGAATAAAAAAACTGATGATCTCTAGAGTAAAATTGAGATGAAATGCCACAGAATGTTATCAGGTTGGAATATTTTATAATTGTGAATAGATTTATGACTATTACGTTCACTTGGAGCAATAAAAGCTCATTATATATTAAAATATCTATATAATTGGCACATGCTTCAAAACTATCATGACATCCTGAAAGGATTTTTTTTTTCTTCTGTAGTAAGCATTTCATTTTTGTGCAGAGTTCATTATGGTAGGGGTTTCATTCCCCTTTGGCCCCAGATAATGATTACTACTTGAGAAGGGAGGTTAAGTTAGATGGAACATTGACATTATTGATATGATTAAAACTTCTACAAAATGTACTTTATTTGTTCATTTTTGATCCTGTAAATATTGCAAGGTTTGTTTTTCATGTTATTACATTTGTGTTTCTTAAAGCGTGGTCCTCAGATGCCTTTGATATTTCTTTATGTTGTGGACACATGTATGGAAGATGAAGACTTGCAAGCTCTGAAGGAATCCATGCAAATGTCGCTTAGTCTCCTGCCACCAACCGCGTTAGTAGGTCTCATTACCTTTGGCCGAATGGTGCAAGTTCACGAGCTTGGCTGTGAAGGAATTTCCAAAAGTTATGTCTTCAGAGGAACAAAGGACCTATCTGCGAAACAGCTGCAGGTAATGCACAAAAGCAAACAAAAAGTAATTATCAAGATGATGGTGATGAAGAAATTCAAATAGTCTGTAAACAAATTTTGTAATAAAATCTTATGTATTTGACTACAGGAAATGCTAGGGCTTACAAAAGTAGCTGTTTCACAAGTCGGTCGGGGTCCTCAAGTGCAGCAGCCACCACCTTCTAACAGGTAATGTGCTTAAAACATCTAAAAAACATACCCTGACTACACTGATTTACTGGAAACTTATGTTTTATGACAATGAAAACAATCAACTGACAGTCGAACTGATCAGGCACAAATTTACTAGGAGACTAATAGCCTGTTTCTTTCCTACAGTTTGTACGGGGAAGAAAAGACTTTATGGGTGATAGTAAAATCATCTGGACGATGTTTTGGAAATGTTCTGAGAGAATGTTATATAGGCATATTATAGATGCGTAAATAATGATGCTTCTGTTGGTTGGTATGCTGGAAAGTGTTAATAGCTGCTTTAGTGCCCCTTTCTTATGCGGATATCCAGTTTTGCCTTCCCTTTTTCCCCCTCTTCCAGTCTTCTCCCCTCCCCTTCTGTCTCTTATTTGGAAATTGTGGGTTGGTGTTTGATTCTCCTGTGTGTCCCACTGTGATGTAAAATAAATTGATGAAGTGATGTAAAAGAGAGACAGTTTTGTAGTCTCTGCCTTCCAATAAATAGCTGCATTTGTAGACAGGCCGTAGCAGACAGCACGAAAAATTCTTTTATGTTAATGTTTCTTCTGATCCTTGGTTTTCACTGAAGTAGTGAAACTTGAGTTTCTTTTTGAGATTCATAGGTCATCATCTGCTGTGTTTTGACTAGATAGGCTTCTTTCTGGATAGTGGTGGTATCTCTAAGGTAGCAAGTTTTTGGTTTACAAGCACTTTGCTGAACTACTTAAGCTGTGTGCTTTGTGTGTGGTAATACCAAACTGTGTTATCTTGGTGAAGCAGAGACATTGCTCTGAATCCAGACTAGAATCTAGAATTAGTCATTGCTAAGATATGTCTAATATATTGCTAGTCAGCTGATGAAATTTTTATTTAACAATTTGAATCTAAACTAATTCCATGTACTTGTTTACAGATTTTTGCAACCAGTGCAGAAAATTGATATGAATCTTACTGATCTTTTGGGTGAACTGCAACGGGATCCTTGGCCTGTTCCACAAGGAAAACGGCCCTTACGTTCTTCTGGAGTGGCTCTTTCTATAGCTGTCGGGCTCCTTGAGGTAATAGCTTTAAGTACAGTTGTGCTAATATATAAATAGATCATTTTGTTGCAGAAAAGCTGCCACAATCAAGATGTAAAAACTTTAGTAATAGATGCATGTTAGATTTGTATGATGATTCTGATGGATATTATTCCTTACATACATAGAGTAATTGTAGGTGTTTACACGTTTTAATGAGGCAAAATTGGGACTTTGAATTAACAGTGGACTTAAGTTTTTGGAGGGAAAAAGTACAGTTATTGTTAGAATCCTATCAACTTGATAAATATCTGCATAGCTATTTCTTTTGTTCAATTTGTAGCAAAACCTGATGGTTTTATTTGTCTTTTATTTCCTGCAGTGCACTTTTCCTAATACCGGTGCACGTATAATGATGTTCATTGGAGGACCAGCTACACAAGGACCTGGCATGGTTGTAGGGGATGAATTGAAGTTACCTATAAGATCATGGCATGACATTGAAAAAGACAATGCTAAATACGTTAAAAAGGGTACTAAGGTAAGAGATGATCATGGGTGATATTTTAGGCATCTTACCAGTAAGTAAACATGTACTTTGCCTGGCACTGTAAAATACTGTTGGTAGTAGCAAATGTATAAAGAGGTGGGAGTTGTGTGGTTTTGTTTACCTGTCTCTGAATAGTGGTATGTCTTCAGGAATGTCTTCAGGAATGTCTTCAGGAATGTCTTCAGGAATGTCTTCAGGAATTTCTTCAGAAATTTCAGTATATTGAGTTAGGACTTTGCCTAGCTTTACATTAAAGTTCTTTGGAGTGTTTTCCTGGTTTAAGTCAGAGAAGATTCATGTGCTTAAATGATGTATCTAGAGTAAGGCTGTCTGCTTCTAAGACAGCTGCTCAAAACTGTCTCTGTAGTTGGGGGAGGGTTAGGCAGTAGAGTTTCAGCATAGTTCATTTCATCCTAAATGTACATTTGGGCAGGTGAACTGCATCCAAAACCTGTTGAATTCATCTTAACTGGTTATAATGGGAGCTTAAACGATTAGCTCAGTCGCAGGCACCTGTTATAGACACTTGAGATTAGAAAGGTAAATTGAATTCTGTGTGTTGGATCTAGTACTTAATGCAAAGTTTAAAAAGAAAAGATCAAGGTCATTTTCTAGTTTAAATAGCAACCATTGGTCCGTCTAGTGTGATTCAGGTTCTCAGCTGGTCAGGAAAAAAACCACAGGTGTTGAAAATTCCAGTCTTAATTTTAACTTTAGAAAAAAAAAAATTCTTCTAGCTTGTGTTAGAATATGATGTGAATAAAGTCTGATAATGTTGTTTTAGAAAGTTTTGGGAGTTTAGGATTTAATAAGATGAGGGGAGTTCATGTCATAAATTGCTATGAACTGTATTTTCATCTTGGATTTAGCATTTTGAAGCCCTGGCTAATCGGGCTGCAACAAATGGTCATGTTATTGACATATATGCATGTGCGTTGGATCAGACTGGTCTTCTGGAGATGAAGTGTTGTCCCAACTACACTGGGTATGTACCTATTCATTTTTTAGTAGTATATGAAAGTGCAGGGTTTTTTGTGTGTTGTTTTTGTTTTTGGGGTTTTTTTTTTAAATTGTTTAACAGGAAGCACTTACCAAAAACATTCTGCTACTTTAAAAAAAAAAAAAAGGCAAACCCAAAAAAACCCACAAACCTACTCTGATATACTGTGATGCTTGCATTTGTACCAGAACTTTGGAATTTCTCAGCCTCTGGCAAATTTGTCACCATAATTGCGGGTTTAATCAGAAGGGGGTTTGCTGTTGGGGTTTTTTTTTGTTGTTGTTCTTTTTTTTTTTTTTTTTAAATATGGTCTCTTTTGAGACTTAAATAACATGGATATCTTTTAAAAAGGCAATTTATCCTATGTACTTTTGCTACTTTTCTATTTTGGTGTGTGTATATGTAAGCTGCAGGTTTCAGTAAAAATAAGGATGTGTCATCCTTCTTTTTCTTGCTCTTTGGAGTGTAACAAAACCCTGTGTTATTCCTTCTGTCTTGTTTATGCCCTTCTTCTGTATACTGTTGTTCATAGGTTCAACTACTGTCGTAGGTGATTATCAGGTACATCTGTTGCTCCTGATCTTTGCTCCCTCTATCCAGTTCTACATTTCAGACGTAGTCTTGTATTCCCTCCAGCTTGTCTTGTCCATTTTCACCGGATCAAAGCAAGTTGTAGTCTTTCTCATGAAACCACTCCCCTATTTTCTGTCACTGTGGATGACACCCTCACCCCTCCTCTTATGCAGATCTACAGTCTGGGATAACTTTTGACTCTTGCTTGTGTGCGAAGTACTTCATTAGTTTTGTAAATCCTGCCAATTCCTCCTCCCTATTTTTTCAAAGTCATCTTTTCTCTTTCTGAAAGTCTTTTCTACGTTCATAGTATTTCATCTTTGCTGGTATAGCCACCTGCTTTACATACTGATTGATTTTTTTAGGTTAGAGTTCTGTATTCGGTCTGGATTCTTTTGCCAAGCTCATTTTTCTTGCTTGTTATTGTTAGCTGTGTCAATACCAACTGCAGGTAAAATTAAATGAAGCATCTTTGCTTATGAGTTTAATAACTGGTATATCTGTGGGAATGGGCCTTCTTAGTTGCCTGTCAATACCTTCATATGACAGAGGACCCTAAGCACGTGCTACACATCTAGGCATACCAAGAAGAGTAAGAGATGCTGCCACAGGTTGTGATGAACATACTCTGCTGAGTTTCAGGCCAGCTTGGCCATGCTAGTCACTGCTGGGTTGCTTCTTTTCAAAGGTGTGTTTGCGTAGCCTTAGGGTGGGAGTTTCCACTGCTTAGGATCTTTAAGTTTATGACTTTACCTCCACATTTGATTCCTATTCCTTTTCTGCATCAAACTCAAGCTGTATTTTTCTATACACTACAGTGTAATTTTGCTCTTTCTCTCTGCTCTTGTGACTCACCTTACCCTGTTTTTGCTCTTCCAGCAAAACTAGCTGTAATGTATAGTTTGTCCATTTTTTTACAGCTGTTCCATTTTCTGTTTGCTTACATCCTACATACAGGGAGGGATTTCTGATTCTGCCTGTGTCTGTTGTCTTCTATCTTCAAGTATCCACCTGAAAACTTCTATAACTTTTTTCAGGTGTAATGTTTGACCTATTAACATATTTTACTAATATGATTTATTTAATATTTTTGGATGAGTAACGACAGTATCTCCCATTACTATTTCCTAAATGGAGTATATGATATTTCATAATGAGTGGCAACCATTGCAGTTACATCCACAAAATATTGCTAAGCATGAAACCAAATCTTGCTTCTTGAGCATAGATTTAAGTCTGAAATAATAAGTGAACTACTCAAAATAAAATGGCGTGGTAATAGGTTTGGAGTATTGAATATTAGAAGTAGTTAACTGACTTTGCTTGACAAGGTTGCGAGACATTTGTAGTGTTGAAGTCCAATATAGTATTTACCAGTGAAATATTTTGTTATATGTTATAGTCACAGTGACCTTAAGGTGCTGATTGGGCAAGAAGCTTACTTACAAAATTAATCCCTAACATTGTAGCAAAATACTAATTTAATGATAGTCCATTTTAAGAAGGCAAAAATGTGCCTCGCCATGAACTGTCGTTAGTTTTAGCCTTTAATAGAAATAAGCTATATAAATCCCATGTGCTAAATTATTACATGATAAGAAATCTTTTTTAACTTGAGGGTGTTGTTTGTTCTTTTTGTTGTCGTTGTTGTCTAGAGGCTACATGGTAATGGGAGACTCTTTCAATACATCTTTATTCAAACAAACTTTTCAGAGAGTATTCACAAAAGATATGCAAGGACAATTTAAAATGGGATTTGGTGGCACATTAGAAATAAAGGTAAGAATAAAAAATGCAATGTGTTAGTGAAACACTGGAATAGGATGGCTAAGAACTGGAATTTCTGCCCTTTAAGGAATTTTTAGGAACATGCTAAACAGATGTGTCAGGGTTGGCTTGGACATAGCTGTTAACTGCCTAGCTATCTTTTTGCAGTTCTGTGATTCTGTAAATGTGAGTTAGGTATAATGTTAATTCCTTCTTACCCTGCATTCAGTGACAGCTAAAAGGGAGACTGAACTAAAATTAATTCTCTGTTAGAAACTCACAGTGCTGTATGCATAGATTTTGGTATCGGTAGTGAGCGTTTCATGGTTTTAGGTCCAGGTTCTCTACATAGTCCAGGACAGCTTTCCTTTCATTTCCATCCTTATCAGAATCCACTCTGGCACTCTAACGATGTTAATTTTCACCTCTACTCTTGTGAGAAGCTTAGAGCTGAATGTGCTGTAGGTTCAAGTATGGTCTTCCATGATGCTTCTTGCAAAGTATTACAGTCCTGCCTTGTAGAACAATATAGGGCTATTTCCTTGTTCAGTAAAATTCTGTTTAAGTTTTTACTACCAGGACAAATAATTGAACCCTCTTTTTTTCATGTGCGTGTTCTTGTGAATTTCGTTGGAAGATCCTGGAAAATGCAAAAAGGGAGCCCCAGTTCTTAGAGGAATGTACAAATCCCTTCAAAATTACTTTGGAGGAATGTAAATAACTGGATTTTGCTTTTAGCTAAATATGTTTAGGAGACAGAGGGTATAAATTCAGTGTGGGGTATGTGCAGGCTTATCTTACCAGTCTTCAGTTTTAATCTCATCTTGTGAATATTTTAATTATTTTGCTACAAAATAGACATTATCCAGTATACTGTCTAGGCTCCCAGGTTTATAAATAACAGCAGCTTTTCTCCATATTTTAATGTAAGTTCATGCTGTTTTTTTAGATGTACTAAGTGGTACAGCAAACAAAATTAAGTGTAGAAAGTGAGCACATGAAAAGTTCCTGTAAATGTATCAAGCATTATTATATGTATAACCTTTCTTAAAGGTATCGAGTCTGATTTGCATTAAGGTTTTCATAAACTAATGATAAAATACAACAGAGTTCTTCTTAGTGTGGCATATTAATGTGTGTTTTTCTTCTAAATATGAAGACTTCAAGAGAAGTAAAGGTTTCTGGAGCGATTGGACCCTGTGTGTCTCTCAACTCTAAAGGACCTTGTGTCTCAGAAAATGTAAGTTAACTTTACTGAATAGGAAGGTAATATCATACTATGGAAAAATAGGATTTAGGATTTCTGGATTTGAAGAGAGACTGAAACTTCCATAAATGGAACAAAGAGTGTTTACTTTTATACCGATCTTAAATTTAATACATGCAAGGGCTGTTTTTTGAATAAGCTCCTGTTCACTGCAAGATTAGATTCAAGTTGTATTAGACTTTGCAGATCCTTTGTTGCTTAGTTAGGTTTGTCCACTGAGTTTGCTTTAAAATGCACCACTAGGTTGCTTTAAAATTACTACAGAGAAGTTACATGCTGGCAAAGCAGAAACCAAGTAGAAAGGGAGTTAGCATGCTTTATTGTTAAAATCAGAGCTATATCCTTTTATCCAAACAGAGAACCATGAAAATACGTTGTTTAGAAAGACAAGAGAGAACAGGAGGACACAAGACCATGGGAACATCCCCTTTATCTTGACCCCATCGTCCCATTTGTATAGTTGTTTGACCAAATGCACATTTAATTAATTGATTAGAATTTCCAACTATTACAGGCTCCTGAAGTAACTCCTTTAAATTTATATCAGACTTAAATCATCACTTAATTTCTTACAAAATATTATTACAGTTTAATTTTGCATTTGATTACTAATCAAAACCAATTCCTGCAAGTAACCAAAATGCCTTACATTTGAAAAGTCTCACTTTTGTTCCTAACAATCTGCATAATAGAGCACTTTCCAGTATGAAAGTGCTTACAGATGGCCTGCTTTAATCAAGCATTTTTCGTGCCTAAATTTTCCTTCTATTTATGATTGCATCTTTGTGAACTAAAAATCTCAATATAATCAGCACTTTTTTTCTTTCTTAGTGGTCTGGTGCAGATTTTCTTATTTTGTCACCTGAATGATTGCATATATTACAATAAAAGTTAAAAACCCACAAAACAATTAAATGTACATCTCCTTATTTAAGCTACATATTTAAGTCATAGGAGGTAATAGAAAATTTAATTGTGAATTCGGGTCTGTTGCCTTGCATTATGATTAATTTCTATTCCAAAAACCTTTTTGTTAAAATTATCTGAATTAAAATTTTTGGGGGTAAAACATATGAATAAAATGTAGATGCATGCAGCTCATTGCAAGTTGTAACAGGACGATTAGACTAGCCATAATGCTTTTAACAGAGAACACAAGCACAGTGACAATATTGCCAGTATAATTTTCCTTGAACATTTGGTTTGGTTTCACTGGGTCCATTGTGGATGACTGATTATTTTAATTGGTTTCTCTGGGTATTTATGTTGTTTGGATGACAAAAAGGAATTGTCACTTGAATATATCTGTCTACAGATACAGTTACTAGAGACTATGTAACTATATACTATATGCTATGTAAGCTATCTACTTGAAGTTTTACTGGTGTGCCTTAGAAGAGTCATTACACTTGCATGTACTTCTTACCTCTTCTCTTGGGACTGTTTAAGCAATGACTAGTACTTTTTCCTGTTTCTGACTTGCTTTTTCCATTTTTCCAATGCCATCTCCTTGTCTTTCTAGTGCTTTGGTCTTTTGCAACCATCTCCTTTTTTATTATTCCTGCATCCAACACTGCAGTTGTTTTGCAAGAGTGTCTGAGAAGCTGACAGAGTGAGCAGGGATAAAACTTGTGACTGAGTAGTTGTAAACAATTACCTATAATGGCCAGATGTACTTCACAAAGGAAGGTAATACTTCTGGTTTGTAAAAGTATTATAAAATCTTTCTACAGGAAATTGGAACAGGAGGTACCTGTCAGTGGAAGATTTGTGGACTTAATCCTACTACAACACTTGCACTGTACTTTGAGGTGGTCAATCAGGTAATAAATATTTGTCTACTTGTCTAGTAAACACAGTAATTTTATATGACTGCTGAAGCCTATATTTTTGTGTGGTTCCCTCAAGCACAGTAGCAGAGATACAAACGATATTGCCATTTTGTGTTGTCAGAGTTTAGAGATGGACACTAACAGCTTAATGATGAGCTACTCTTCTTGAATATGATAATGAGAACCAAAGAGCTCTACAAATTTTGGATAGAGTTCATAATCTAAGTCCAATTTTTCTTCTTAGTGTTACTTATTAAAATGTATTTCAGTTGCAATATATGAAAATACTGTAATCTGTATATTTAAAAGTGCTTTTCAGTATTTCTCTGATGTTTTAGTTCAAAGTAATTACTCCATAATGTTGCATTTTTATTTATGCTTTAATTGCTCAGTATTTGCAAGTAAAGATTTGCCTTCATTGAAATGCCTCAGGGGTGTATAGCCTGGTTTCCTGTCTCCCTGAGGGGGTACTAGGAAAGAGGATAAACACATGACAAGCAAATATGCTACTTCCTTCTCTAGTACTTTCCCTTCTTCCAGATATTTGAAGCTCAGGAACTATGTGAGTTGACTGTAGTTGCTATATATTTAGTATGCTATATTGCCTATGTTATAACTTATGCAAAGGTTTGAAAACTTGAACTTACCTTAGCTATTTTTCATTTTCCTTTTTGCATATTTATTTTTATCTCATTTTATTGCTAGCTCTAAAACTGGTCTGGTCATGGTGTGTAATAGTTGATTTCAACTGTCATTCTCTTTTGGAATTACTTTACCTTGTTAGCAGCGTATAAATGGGTATTTCTACTGACCAGAGTTTTGAAATTTCAGTTTACGTCTGGATTCCAGTCTTTACATTTCGATGCCACTTTCTGGGATGCATTAATCAACATTTTATAGTAGTACTGGTTTTGTTGCCCTGTAATTCTAGTGAATCACGTGATATTCAAATAGAATCTAATTAAATCAGCCCCTTTGAAAGTACTGTCTCTGTAAGAGGATTTCGAAGGAGAGAGCATTGGTTGCTTTAAGGGTATCTGGTGGAGGCAACAACTGCTCCTAACATTCCTTAGCAGTCTCCCAAGTTTATTACCCATGTTTAGTAAAGATACTCAACATAAAAAAGCACCAGACAGTGCGTTTATTTAACTTAAGCTGCCTGTTGCTAAGAATTTTATCATTTTCTAGTAATTTGTTTATATGTATTATACTGTAAAATCTTGAGATTCACCTCCATTTAATTTTTTTTCTTCCTGTACTTAGCATAATGCTCCTATTCCTCAAGGAGGACGTGGTGCAATCCAGTTTGTGACTCAGTACCAGCATTCCAGTGGACAGAGACGTATCAGAGTGACCACAGTTGCCAGAAAGTATGTTTTACTTGTGATGAATCATTTTTGAAAAAGCAGGATACATATTTGCCTTTTAATCTTTAGATTTTGTAACCAGTCCATTGTTCTGGGATATGCAGTGCCACAGGTGGTGAGGGCATGATCATACCTTTGGGGCAGTTGCCTCTCTTGTTCTGTGGGCTGTTTCTTCTCTGAGGGGTTGCAGTGGCTGTATAATGATGTTATGGGAGTGCTCTGAAGTAACCCAGGTGATTTTAGATGAAGAGGAAGCTTTGAGTGAAATTCTGTGGCCTAAACTGAGGAGGTGGTCGGAGTTAGGGAATGGCAAAGATAATTTCACAACTTAACTTGAGAATGCTAGCTGCAGTTCAGGGGGGTGTAAATACCTGTTCTTCTATTTATAACCTTTACCTGCTGCTTCCTTGATTCAATTTACTTCAGAATTTTAGAATGTGATGTTTAATATTATGCAGGCATTTTTCAATGTCCAATGGCATTTCCTTTAAGCTGAAGGAGATTATTGATTGGTTAATTCGATGGAAGATTCAGTTTATCATAAAAAGTATTGCCCTTACTGTTGATATGAATATCTTGTCAATTTACATTAGTTATATTAGTAGAATCTTCTTGGCAACTGCTAAAAGGACAGATTAATAGTTCATCTTGTAAATTGAAAAGAACAAGCAAGGTGCACAAGAAAACTGCTAGTGTGGGAATGTGTGATTAGCTTCATGGACAGTGTTTTCTGTAACTTGCCTTTCAAAATTCTTTTTTTTTTTTTTAATATGACTGTTTTATAAGTGGCATTGTATTTTATTTCACTGGTTGCATGGCATCTGTACAAATAAGGGACATTTCTAATTAAAGAATGGTTAACTGAGAGGCTGCTCATTTACACCCAGTAGATTTTTGAAGCTCCAGCATGAGTTTGTTAAACTGCTTGCACTGCTTTCTTTGCCTTAATTTTGAAGGGATATTTTGAGGTTGGACATCTTTCCTTTCACTGTAATGCAAATACATGTATTTTTCTTTTGTAGCTGGGCAGATGCACAGACGCAGATTCAAAACATTGCTGCATCTTTTGACCAGGAAGCTGCTGCGATTCTCATGGCTAGATTGGCAGTGTATAGGGCAGAGACAGAAGAGGGGCCTGATGTGCTTCGGTGGCTGGACAGACAACTTATACGACTGGTAAAAAGGACCATATTAAAAGAGGCAGATTGGTTTCTTGTCTCCAGCTATATCATTCTTAAATGACTAGTGTTCAGTGATTGTTTCTTTAAAAATAAAACAAAACAAAAAATGAACTGAATGCTTCATTTCCGCAAGTGGGTATGCAGAATTAACTAAGATTTTCTATTTTAAATGGAAAAAAGAGCAGATATGTTTTTAGTTTGTTTATTAATTTTTCCTCAGTCCTCAGCAGTTGGTAATTGCCAGCAATTGAGAGAAATTCTGGCATGAGATTAGCAGAAATTAAAGCTTTCTCTACTTTCTGCTGCCTATAATGATATTGTAGATGATATATTTTTAGGGAAAAGAAAAAGTCAAAGTACGTAGAAAACCATATGGAATTTCTTTATTTTTATTTTCAGAAGTGCAGTTTTCTGGTTTTTTTGGTGTTTTTTTTTTATTTCTTACTTGTAAGTAAGTAGTTATTAATAACTTAATTTTAAACATGTTCTCCAAGGCTGTTTAGTCATCTAACTCTGCTTAGTGAAATTAGAGGGGAAAAAACCCCAAAAGCCATTAAAGCCTCATATGCAAGGAGATCACTGCTTGTTAAGAAAAGAACTTAGGTCAGTGTTTTTGCTTGGTTTCTGTTTGCTTACAAAGCTGTAAGCACCTCAAATCATGTGTCTATTAGAAACAAACTTACAGTAATGGCATGACCAAGCAAGTATGTTTCTTAATTTAGATAAATTTTTCTTCTACTCCAGTGTCAGAAATTTGGAGAATATCACAAGGATGATCCAAGCTCTTTCAGATTTTCAGAAACCTTTTCACTTTACCCACAGGTGAGTAGAAGGAAGGTGTGTCTATACGGGATAAAGAGAGAATGCTTAGTGAAGGAAGAGGCACTTGTAGCACAGAGTAAAATAAGGCATTACACTGGATACCAGAATGAAAAGACCCCCTGCCCCCAGCTATTGTCTGACGTGTGATGTTAAGCAAATCACTTCTGTTGTCTGTACTGCTGTGTCCCCTTTTGCACTCTGTCCTTACAGCTAAACTTCCTCTAACTGTGTGTATTTTTTGTTTCTCCTGTAATGGAATCCTCATTTTACCTGGGTTTGTAATTCAGATAATGAGGCTGGTTTTTTTAAGGGCAGTTTTTATGAAGAAATTCAGAAAACATAAGAAAAGAGATGCTTTTGCTTTGTTGTTTCTTTCCTATAAGATTTATAATACTGACCTGAAAAGAGACACTTCACTGGTGAAGTGAACTTGTGCTTGACTATATTAAAGTTTGAATAGTTTCTTTGCTAATAATCCATTCTGATAAATTCCTCCATTCTGATAGCTCCTGATGTGTTGCTTTTGGGCTCTTTGTAGACTTCCATGATATTTCTGTTCGAGTTATCTACCAATCTGTCTCAACGCATTAAGCGTTGTGAAGAGATTGATTCAGCAATGAAAGGATTTGCTTTTTCCGTTTTACTAACAAAGTTCAGCTTTGCTGTGGTTAATATTCTTTTTTTCTGTTCGCATGCTATAACTTACCTTGTGTGTTCAAGTGCAGCAGCCTCCCTCATAGGAACAGTAGAACTTCCAGTAAAGGAAGGATTTGGCAATATTCAGTCATACTATTTATCAGTTAGTACTGGAGAAGAAGAAATCTTAAACTTTCTCTTAATTCAAAGCTGCTGTGTAGGTTTATCCATTCTGATCTCTATGTCTTACTCTCACAAGAGTATATAAAAACTGGTGAAGATGCAGATACAAGTTAGAAATGTTAAAGAACTTGGAATTCAATTCTGTTGTGGCACTGGCCTCATGTAGTTTGTGGAAAATACTTCTCACCTTGTACAACTCTCCTTTTTACCTGTGAAAGTTCAAACAAACGGTTTTTGTTTTGCAGTTTATGTTTCACTTGAGAAGATCTCCCTTCTTACAAGTTTTCAATAACAGTCCAGATGAGAGCTCATACTATCGTCATCATTTTATGCGTCAAGATCTAACCCAGTCACTTATCATGGTTCAGCCAATTCTTTATGCCTACTCTTTCAATGGACCTCCAGAGGTATCATTATATATAACATAGTAGGTTAAAAGGTGCTGTTTTGAGAGAGATGATTGTTGTCCTTACTGTTAAACATTATAAAATGTGTTGTTTTAAATTGTTGCATGAGGAAGAATGTTCATTTAATATAGAACATACTATGAATAAGGCATATCTCAGAATTCTGATGTAGCATAGTTTTGAAAACTGTGTCAGTTTGTGAAGAGATGATGTTTTAAACTAAGGAATGATAATTTTTTTGTTAGTTTTTGAGAGATGTAGGAGTTTTTCTTTTGTTTTTGTGGTGCCAGAATGTAAACATCAAGAAAAATGTTTTTATTTCAAAATGTACTTTTTCTGTAGAGTTTGAAAGAAAAGTTGGGGTTTTTTTTAAATGTACAAAATTCCCTCTATCTTAATGCCCTCATCTAAAGCTTCTAATTTTGATGTGGTTACCATTATGTATAGATTTGGTACAGAACCTTCCAGCTGACCTGGTCATGGTACATTCTGTATAAACCTAAAATAAAAATGTGATCTTCAAAGAAGCTTGTGAAAGAAGTGTAAGATACGAGACAACAAAAGTAGTCTGACAGATAAGAGAGACTGAGGAAGTGGTAAGACAGTGAAAATAAACATAGTAGGCAAGGGTCTTGGCAGGCTGGAATTCCAACTTTTGTTAGGATTTTTTTTTTTTTTTTTTTAGACTATGTCATGGGGATAATAAAAAAGACTTTTAAAAGTGGAGTTTAAAGTAATGAGGTTGTCTGTGAAGAGCTACTCACAAGTGTAAGATCATTCTCCCATGTATGAATAACAGTCACATGGGTGATGCAAAGGAGAAGCATGATCAAGCGGGAGCTGAAACCTCAGTGTAGGATCAGTAATTTTTTCTTTGATTCTTGGAATAGTTAATATTTTTGGCATCCCTAATAAGATTGATCCAATTAAATCATATGGTACTGATTCAGTTAAATTGTACAGCACCAATATAGTGTCACTGCCCTTAAAAAGATGTATTAAAACCTTAAATATTACATTAGATTTCATAAATCATGAGTATTTACTATATGCAGTGTTGGTGGATATATCTGTAGAGTAATAATAGCTGCAAGGACAAGACTAAAAAAAAAAACCAACCAACCAACCCACAGCCCCCAAATCTTATACTTGAATAACTACTGAATCTTTATACATTGAAATATCATTCAAGTTAATGGCATTGTATAGGTAAATATGGAGGTACTTGAAAGACTAGAAAAGTGCATAATAATGAAAGAGGTTTCATCTCTTGAATACAATTTTTATTACTTTCATGAAGTTAGATACTCAGAATCAGGCTGAATAACTTCAGAATGAGATTGTGTGGGTTGCAGATGTATAATGTGAAAATGAGCAAATATGGAGTGATTGAAAAAGTTCCTGAGGTTCAGTGACTGATTCAAAAAGCTGGTAATGCCATCTGATTGCTCAATTCTGCATCAGTTGGTAATTTTTTATTTATTTTTAAATCTTAGCCTGTTCTTCTGGATAGCAGCAGCATTTTACCAGATCGCATTCTCCTTATGGACACCTTTTTCCAGATCCTTATTTATCATGGAGAGGTAAGATTTGTCGTTTCTTATATAAATATTGTTTTTCTGTAGGAGTGCCACATTATGAAAGTCAAGGCCCAGTTCTAAAGCACTCCAATGCTTGACCTGCCATCTGTGTGGCTGATACCAGACTCTTAATTCATGTTTGTAGTTTGGTAACCTAACATGCCTATACACAGATACCTGATATTACTTGATGTTTCGGTGCTGTTTGTTATGATGGGTTTAAGATGAATTAGCTTCAATATGCAGATTATTTGTTTTAGATCAGTATTTTTCCAATTTTTGAGTGTTTTTCTCCACACCCCCCGTGCTTTTCACTCATTTATTTTAGACCTCTAAATTAGTCCTTCAGGGATAGGGAGCTGGAACACCAGGTTTTATAGTCACCCTTCATCTGCACTGTCCTGGAGGAATGAAACTGCTCCGCGCAGTTAAGTAGATAGACATGCACTGTTAATATAAATATAAATGCTTGTGACTTGCTAGTGCTCTGCTGCCCTGGAGGAATTGAGCTGCTGCTTTTTACTGCTTTGCAACTGTAAACAGTTCCCAGCTGAGAGTTTGAGAAATACTGTTCTGGATCATGTCCTCATAGCTGCACTGTTTAAAATCATTACCAAACTGTAACACTTCTTAAGCGGAAAAAATGTTCTCTGTATTTTTCTAAGATGCTGTCAGGAAGCAGCAGGGGTGGGCTGCTCCCTGAGGGAAGGGGAATGGGGAGCTGGGCTGGATTGCAAGGCAGGCAGAGGCCTCGCCAGCGGGTACCTGGCCCTACGCTGCCTAGGCAAGGCAAGCAGAGCAGTTTACAGACAGTAGGCAGGTTCATCATGCAAGTTGATGGGGTGAGGCAGGTGTGAGCTCTAGCTGGGTAGTCAAGTCCCTGGGTGGGGGTCCAGATGCATGGGGTGCATGGCCAGGTACAGGCACGGCTGCAGTGGAGCTCAGGCAGGAGCTAGGAATGAGAGCCTCAGCTTAAAACAGCTGCCAAGCAAATGAGGAGGGAGCCCCTGCTGAGACTCCCTCCAGGTCTTTCCTAACAACAGCCTCTGTCAGTGAGCTGACCTTGAGCAGCCATCTTCACTCCTGGAAGGTGGGGAGACTGCACTACAGGCCCTGAAAGATAAATATCACTATAAGTATTTATTTCTTACGTGTCATAGACATGCATATTAGAGAACTGTAAATAGTATCCTTGACATCATGAACTGAATGGTTAGCATACAAATGATGACAAAAAAAGAAAATACAGAAGGACCACAAATTGTTAGAGTTTCAAAACACTTACTTACACGTCTTGGCTTTTAAAAATTAACTTGCATACTATAGAGCAGAAAGGGGTGAGTGATAGACAAGAGGCCAGCCAACAATGGCACATTCTCCTTTGAAAAGCTGTGTGTAACCTCTAGGAAAGATTGGTGAATCAGTTCTAAACTTCTTTCTTCCCCCTACCCCCAGACCATAGCTCAGTGGCGTAAATCAGGTTACCAAGATATGCCGGAATATGAAAACTTTCATCACTTGCTACAAGCTCCAATAGATGATGCCCAAGAAATTCTCCATTCCAGATTTCCAATGCCCAGATACATTGATACCGAGCATGGGGGAAGCCAGGTATGGTAAAATATATATAATATATTTTTTTAAAAAATACGTTACATAATCTAGAAAGTGACGTGTTAGTAAAATCGTAAGATTTTTTTGGTAGTAAACATGCATTTCTCTGCTAAAATATATGTAAATTGAAGTGAAAATTTTTAATTTTAAAGCTTTTGCAGAGCCGGATACTTAATAGTAGCTTTTTGCCTGATTTGTGAATCCTGTTATTTATTACTATTTTTACCACACTGACTTGGACTTTCAGATTCCTTGTGTGAGGTGTGTAAGACAAAAAAGGTAGTACTTGTCAGGGTCTCTCAACCAATACCAGAAGTATTCTTTATATTTTTTTTTTAACTTATTAATGAATATTTTATTGATATTCACATTTGCTTTGCTAGCGCTTAGAAAAAGACAAAAACTTCCTTTCTGGTGCATTGAGAAGTTGTTGGCAGTTCTGCATTATAGCTGTAGAATCCAGGGAGTGGCTTTATTTATAGAGGTGCTACTTGCTCTTTTGAATAGGTATCTGTGCATGTTTTGATCTCCAAATAATAGAAATGGTATCTTTCATACACATGTAATTTTTTCTGAGTACAGGAAAGTTCTATTTGAGAAGATTAATTTATTGCCTGTGTTTTGTTTTTTTAAAGGCTCGTTTCCTGCTTTCAAAAGTAAATCCCTCTCAGACTCATAACAATATGTATGCATGGGGACAGGTAAGTATGAATCTGCTTATGAAGCTTGTATGTGTGCTTTTATGTTCTTTTTTCCTATTTCAGAAATCAAGTGGCACATTTTATACATGTAAGTAATAATGCCAAGTTTTGAAACTGAAAAAGAAATGCAGCTTTGGCCTGATGCCACCAAAATTGCAAAAGTTAAGAAAAATGGATTTCATTTCTTCAGAAAAAAATGATCTGTTTTGCTGTTTTAAGCTTCTGTTAGGCTACTTCAATGTCTAACCACCTTTCAGAGACTTCCAAATTCCTTTGAATGAGAGCACTTACCACACATAAAGACTAAGGGACCTTTTTGCAATAGGGGAAATAAACTTTGAAGTTTGTTATAAGCAAGAGCTGAAAAGTACACCAGTACCAGTGTACTGATTTCCAGAATTTTTGTGGCCTAGGTGACCAGGAATCAGTTTTTCAAATCTTGCCTTTAGGAAGGAAGTTATGTAAGTGTTCAAAAGTTAAACTTTCTGGACCAACTTGTATTCTTGAACATTGCGTCCCAGTTCCATGTTCTCCTTCCAAATTCAGCTTTTATAGTGGGAAGAGAAACACTGCTGTGGGTGCACTGCTAGTGCAGTGTCATTTTCTCATGAAAATGTAATGGCATCAGACAGTTGAAGCTACATATTATCTGTACTTTTAGAGTACTTTGCTAACAGGCATACAGTGTTCAAGTCATCAGTGAGAGAGCTCTGTAGCAATTTTATGGCAGTGATTTTTGTCAGGAAGTTTTATCAGGGTACGTTTTCCTAGGGTCATATTGGTTCTAATGAAACTTCAGGCAGGGAAGAGCACTGAGATCCAGAGTGAAGATACTTTAAAACTTTGTCCTGAGTCAGGGACAGCACAATTTGAACCCAGCTCTCTTGCCGCCAAAGTTGATAACCTAACCAGCAATCTGTTAGTGTCTCTCTTCATCATGTTTCCTCCGCAACATCCTGTAGTTTGAAAGGTCTTGTTTTATCTAAACATTGCCTGGAAATTTTTGAAGTTTTGACATTTCCAACAGTACAGGACAACTGTTTCCTGCTCATTTAATTAGTAAGCAAATGAAACAGTATTCCAAGTGTAAATGCAAATACAAAACAATTCTTGAACTGATCTTTAAGAAAATTGTTCATGCTGGACAAGTGAGACTTTTGATACATCTTAGAAAAGACAGCTTTCCCTTTTAATGGTGAAAAGCATTCAGTTCTAGGGTAACATAAGAAATGGTGTGTTAATCTCCCCAGTGGTATTGCAGCGTGTGTGCTCAACTAATATCCTCCTGTGTTTGCAGGGTTTTGTGTGTGCTCAACATAATATCCTCCTGTGTTTGCAGGAGTTTTTGTGAATCAAGTTGAACCAAGTACAAATTATGAAATGAGAAATGTAACTGTTGGGAGAAAATTTTAAACTGAATTGGTTTTGCTCCTGTTTTTCTCATGAGCTTTCTGGATTGTTTCATGTAATTTTATTTTGTGCATAACTGAAAGTCTACAGAAAGATTTGTTAGTCCACATGGACCTGAAGAGGGCACCCACACACCACTGAAACCATGTTTCAGGAGGTGATTGACTAGTTTGGTTTTTAATATTGTAAGTAAAGATTTTTTCCAACTTTAGCAGGTAGGTGCCTTATATAGTATAGAAAACATTTTCAGAAAATAATGGTAAACTTCTCATAAAGCTCTATTATGTTGGTTATTCTTTGAGGATGCAGTTGAAGTTTTCAGATTGTATCAGATATGACATTTATTTGAGAATGCAAATTCCCCATAGTTACTAAGACAAAAAAGATTTTAAAAGAGCTGAAAATAAAAGCAATTTGAAACGAAAGATGAGGTAAATGGCACAAATCTTACCAGATGCCCAGCTAGCTGTCACCGAATCACTGTTAATTAAATTTAAATTCTCATTGTATGCCTTAGATCAAAATATTGAATGAACAGAAAACAAAACTTAAGGTGGTCTGTGAAAAATCAAAGCTAATTCTCATGTACTTTTCAGACTTGTACGTTGGGACCTTGCTGGTTTTCACTTTATTCCCCAGGAAATAAAATACTCTGCTACCTTACCTACTAGAATGAAGGGTTCCCAGTCTTCAGAGTAAAGCTGCTGCTGTTGGCGATAGCAGTGGTGACAGCAGCTGCCTGTGTGCACGTGTTGGATGAGGTGTTCAGCTTCAGGAATAGTCTGTGCATTGCTTTTATTACCCTGGATTACCACTAGCAGTCATCATGAGGGATCTCTTTTCTCCCTTGGTGCTTTATTTACTAGAGGATGACGTGCTGTCCTTTCATGCGTAAGACACAAGGTGGCAAATCATACCCTGCCTCAGAATTAAACTACTTGTAATTCCCTTGTGGCTTCTTAAATAAGAGAGCTCAGGCTTAACATCTGGCAGGCTTGGAAATAGAACACCCTTTATTCTCATCTTGCCACCATTAGCTGATAGATAATTTAGTGGACTTACCCTGAGAGTGGCTGTGTATTGTGTCAAGTGTATTGTAGTGATCTAACAACTCCTACTGCTCCTGGATTTGTCCCTTGATCGTTAATGGAGAACTGTTTTTGTCCAGTTCTCAAAAAGGGGCACAAGTTCTAAGCACCTAAGACTTTCATGTCTGTGTTTTGGAAGGTTTTGTAAGAGTTCAGACAGCTCTGTTACATTTGGAAATATGGCTTAGTACCTTTGAAAAGGTTGAATTGTTGACATTTATGGGAATTCTTCCTACATCTGTGAACAGAAGTAATGGCAGATTGGTTTCAAAGGACTTAAGAGAGTTACCCTAACATTTGCAGAGTTGCCAACTGCTGTTTTATTTAGGCTGTAAATCTGTTTAAAAATAGTAATTAAAAGATGACCATTTTGAACTTCCTGGATTTCTGAAAAGTACTTCTGAGGTCAAAAAGTAAATTGCAAAAATCCACCCAAAAGGTTTTTTTTTAATCTTGGGTGATCTGATTTTGCAGTGGCATGACCTTCAGATGTTGTTCTTGGTGTTTCTCTGAGGTGGCACAAAGCTGTAGGAGAAAATTGGCCCAGCTTTACTTGAGAAACCCAGCTGTCCTTCACTCCATGTCAAATGAGACCCTTGGTGGATTTGTTCCCTCCTTTCATCATTTTGATATGTCTGAGAGCTTCACTAACAGATACTGATTTGTTAGTTGTGTCACTTGCATGTTTCTGTTTCTCTCATCTTTGTCTGCTCCACTGAGGTAGGAATGATACAGGAACTGTGCATGGCATGGAAGTTCTATTTACTTTCTTAAATTTGTAAGTTACGATTTGGCAGCTGTCAAATACTCCGAGTTTTGTATGGTTGATGTAAATATCTTGCTATACTGCAGCTCATTGCCATATGCATTAATATGGAACAGAGTGTGGTTGTGGTTTATGCCTGAATTTATGTAAACATATGAAAATTTATGTAAATGTACAGTCTGCTGTTTCTTGTCAGAGGATTTCAGCAATGATATGCTTCTAAGGTCTTTCTAAATTTATGAAGTGTTGATTTAATGGAACATATTGTGTCGTAAAATGCTTTTTCTTCACAATGAGTATAATCAATTCTCCTTGTTTCCTTTTATTTTATAGGAGTCTGGAGCACCCATTCTTACTGATGATGTCAGCTTGCAAGTATTTATGGATCATCTGAAGAAACTTGCTGTCTCTAGCGCTGCCTGAGATTCTGTAGTGCGTTGAACACACAGATAAGCTGTAGCCATGTTTCAGTTTTTTCTCCTTTACCTTTTTCCATGTCTCTCTTGACAGAATGCTCCGATATGCACAAGCTGCCTGACTAGATGTAAAGCAGTGTTGTTTTCAAAGAAAAGCTTTTGTTATCAGCAAATGTTTTAACGTGAACTGCAGTTTGTAAAAATGACAGGTCGTAGGTTAAATTAAGTTATAATTAGAGGAAAAAGAACAGTAATTCTGATTACTGTGATACTATAATTACTTTGAGATCATTTATAACAACTGTGAGATGTGATTTCAGTTTCCTTTTTGAATGGTTGAGGTTGATTCTGCTGTGCACTATAAAGGCACATTGAACAATAAAGGAAATCTTTGGTGATGTCGGGCTTTCCAGACTGCCATATGACTACTTTTGCTCACTCAATTCAAGCACAAAGTGAACAATGAGGCAACAAAAAGCATATAAAAATAGTATTAACTCAGCCTTTTGACTTAGGCTGCTGAACTTTTCTTTCCTGCAGAGATACTATTGTTCATGTATTGTTCATTTTAGGAGTATTTAATTTCAACTGTTTCTTCCCACTTACCCTACTTGATTCTTTGGGAACAGAGTTTTTCTTTATTTCCACATAAAGAATTAGAACTGAAAAAGTAAAAAAATCTGTTATTGCACAAACTGTAAATCCACATGTTGTATTTTTGGCAAAAGTATCTATTATCAAACACAGTAACAGATGAATATGCTCAAAAGTTAACACTTTTAGCTTGAGCTAAGAAGAAATCCTGCACTACCAAAATGAACTGACTAAGAGTGCAGCCTTGATTTTTGTCTTGGCGAGTATACTTTTAAAAAAATAAATATATTTACCTTTTTTATTATTGCCTTATAATGTTATTACACTAATGCATGACACTGCACATCTGCTTTTTGTTTCTGCATCCTTTTTGTTATGAATTCACAGGCTATAGTTCTTGTTGAAACAGTATTACATAGAGTATGATGTAATTAATTTGATACTTAGCTCATACTTAATTTTTTGGGGGGTGGATAAATTGTAGGCTTTCCCATTTACTTGTTGAAGTTTACACATAAAACAGATGTTTACATAGGTAATACAACATTTTGACAAGTAAAGATGTGAAATGTGGTAGTGGGCAATAAAAAATTGTGCCAAGTCTAAGGGAAGAGAGAGAGTTTTGATGTAGGAAATTCAATCATATACTGGTGTGATAAGCATGAGGGTTTTTTTTCTGTTCTCTGTAAATTCTCAAAAATGTGATTAAATCAATTGCTCTCCATTTCTTTGATCTAAATGAGATGAGCTCCTTTTTCCTCAATACAAATAAAATACATGTTTTTCTCTCGCTTTTTGTATTTATTGTGCTGGCTTCTGTTGGTGCTTGAAATGTGGAAAAAAAAAAAAGGTAGTAATGATAAAATCTAGAATAACTTCACCACTTTTATTCATGTAATAATTGGTATCAAACTTGTTTAACTTCCGGAGATACTGAACTGTTCACAGTAGTGGCAGCTTAGGAGATAAAAATTCAGTAGCCCTCTTGACTTTGTTTTATTTTAGCTAATAAACAGCTTAAAATTTTTCTCATAACACTAAATATGTCCAATTTATTTGGCAGTTAAGTACTGTTTGACTAATAGATCAATGCATCAGCATGTCATGATAACGGATGGGTTTCTTTTTGCTTTCCTTCCTACCCTTTAATCAGCTTTCACCTTGTAATAGGTTCTTTCATCCAATGTCTTGGCAACATTAGCTTCTTTTGTAACTTCAAGTATTTAACATTGTCACAAGACTTTTTGAAAATCCAGACACGTCTGATGTATTACCTTTATCCTCCTGCTTATTCACCTCTTCCAAAGACTGTGTGGTTAGTGAGACAGGATTTTCCTTCGTGGGAAGCATGCTGACTCTTTC